ATACATCATCTGATCGAATTCGTTCATGCATGAGGCAGTCACGCATCAATTTGCGACACGGTGTCTGGGTGCAAGGGTTGATTCCATCAAATTGCAATACATCTTATTCCTTGCATCCTTGTACAATGGAGGGATATTCGAGAATCCCCCGGGACCACACTGTCTCCTATGTTCATCCTCAATTTCTAGCTCTTATCTTTATCCTCAATTTTCGTTCCAGTACGAATTTATCATTCGTTTGTACTGAATCGAACGACATCAAATCAGCCAACTACATTCTTCTCATCATTCATTTCTGACTTGCCATCATAAGCTAAAAGTACACTGAACTATACGTGAAGTGTGCAACCTTTCCATTGACATTATTGCAATTTGCTACTCACTAACAAATACACCATAATGTGTGCAAGCGAAAGGAAAACGTTCTGGACTTCAAAGTTGCCAATTTTATTGGTGAAATAAACTGATGTAGGAATGAGTGAGCGAATAAATAAATGAATGAATGACGGCGTTAAAGGTGAATGTGAAGAGAAAAACTTGTGATCGCTGTCAAATCAGTGGAGCATAATATCGGCAAAATAGTAGCGTAATAACGCGTAAGTGTGGGAAAGGCCACTAATGGTGTCGTAAAGAACAGATTGCACTAGAAATCTCAACTTTAGAACGGAATTACTGCTGCTGTTAATAGCAGTTCTCAAAATTTCACATGCAATAATCATCGAGCAAGTGAACAACGCGAATCTAAACGCATGTTACTATGTTTTTCACCAGGAAGCATCTCATCCCACTACACAATCTCTAAAGTAGAACACAACAACATAAAAGAATAACGCCCTTAAAGCATTCAAAATTCTCAATACTTTTTTGGTTCTCTTTTTTTTGAGATCGTCAAATGACAAATGAAAGCGAAGTGCCTATTTAGTAGTGTTTTCTCGTATCAAATATGGGCAGTTTGAATGTGAATTGCGCGATTTTTTTGGGGGTGCTGAAGAGCGTCGACATTTCGTTGACTTTTACGCACTTGACTGATCATCACATCACATCGTTTGCTGAACGAATCTTTCAAAATTCTATATATCGTTCAAGCCTGAACGATCCATCCATCTCAGCTGAAAGTGTTTGGTGCAAAAAGCGAGTATCCGAAGAGAAATCGAGGATTCATTCCCTCTCCGCGCTCTGAACTGATTTCACCATGTATCATTCACTCTCAGCTTCAGTTCGGAAACGTATAGGCGTGTTTGGATTTGCAAGAACTGATCGCCTTTCAATGATCATTAGCAAAAGAATGTTGATATTTTGACGCCGCATATTCATCATCGTCAACCTGTTGCTATTCATTTCAGTTTCAGCGGTTTGTCACCCACTCTAGAGGTTTGCATTATTTCGCCTCGATCCAAGGCTCAATCATAACTTCTCAAAGTTTACTCCAGCCAAATTATGCGCATTTCCCTCGTTTTCTACACTCATACTTTGTGCAGTGAAATGATAGAATTGTAGGTGAGTCTTAAATAAAGCATACTCTGAGGGGTGTACCAAACACGTTGTTGCAAACTCTTCTGGAACTTTTGGCTTACGATTAGTAATAATGCCATGAAATCATTTGAAGCGCTCGAATATTCATTCCCCAATATCTTTGACGCTTTATTCCAGTGTTTTGTGCGAGTTTGAAAGTGCGAATTTAATTTATCATGGTTGTTTGCTGGCGAAAATTGAGTGATGTTCGTGTTGGGGGATGGGATCATCGCAGTCGTTCACACTTCCATCTTTAATCCAAACTCACGAGAAGCAATTAATTCACTCTTTGAATATCTGCTCGTTCCAATGGATTTATTAACCAATGACTAATACTGCAGCAAATAAGAGCATAAGCAAATAACGCACGTACTTTCGGTAATATTTCGAAAGCTTTCGTTCCGAGCAAATGTTTTATGAACATAAATCTCCTTCGACCATAGCGTTAGATGGATTAATAAATCCTTTGAAGGGAGTGAGAATGGGGAGGGTGATAAGTATGCGAGCAGAACTGAAACATCTCCTAGCACCGCTTGTCAATAACTTTTGTTATAACCGTTTTAAAAGTCACCTCCCGAATACAGAAAAAGTGAGCAAGTACCGAGTGATTTATGCAAAAATCACCAGATGTTATCCTCTTATCGCTTTGCTTCATCATTCGACAATCCGTTTTATGCAGTTCACAAATCTTCAAGACCAGCTTCAGGGTAAGATTCATCCAAAGTCTCCATTTAGAGTCTGCTGTATTTACCAGCTTATTTTCAGTTGATTGAAAGGAGGCATTCGGACGACCTTTTTTCGTGATGTATCAATTTCATAGATGAATGATTCTGAAAAGCGCATAGTGTGCTAGCGGTCCCAAGGCGCACATTTTGACAGTTTTTTTGGCTATCCGCAATTGCATATTTCGTATTGTTTGAATATGCCAGTAAAAATTTGCTCTCTTTCGCCTTTACTCATCATTTAATATTCATGAATTCAACAATTGAGCGTTTTGAAAAGCATTAATTGAGACTCCAAGCGTGAATTTCAAATGGCACGAAACATGATTCAACGATGCGCACATCAAGTAGTGCATTGGGATGCACAATATCACGACAGGATCGTTTGGCGAATCGCATGGAAACTTTTTTGCTTGAGAGCAAGATGAAATCCCAGTATTTATGCTGGCGAATCGAACCTCGACATTTGAGCTGATGGGATGTGGAAATATCAATCAAAGCCTTCCCTTTTTGCGTATAATTTCTGGACGTTGTATCGAGTCGATGCTTTTGACACATGTCACGAGTACATTGCATGCGTCACCTTGGAATCGACAATACCGTTCGGGAAAGAGATTGGATAATTATCTCATGAGTTTAGCAATATTCAAGAGCAAATTTCTTTCTATTTCAAGTGGAGCGCATTTTTATAAGCCCCTCAACCTCGAGCAACTATAAAAGTGGAGCTCCGCATCCGGCAGACAAACAAAATGCAGCATCTAAAGATTCATGCGATGCTTCGAGTTGGTCAAACTTTGCTTAACGACGATTGATGATATGATTTCACCGTCATTGCTGCGCTCGTTGCGTGGCATGTTCAAGTGTCAAAGCACAGATTTTATTGTGGAGAATAGGAAATTCATGATTCGCCCACTGATTCGTGATCATTCGCGTTCGTTGCAGTGTTTCCGTCGCACTGTCGGAAATGTTGGAATGGCATGCTGAGCACTCAACTTTTGAAGCAGTCTGATATTTAGTTAAAATATCCAATAACCTCATAATCGCTTATACTTCAGAGAATAATTGCAGGTTGCACTTCATTTGAATGTAGAACTTCAAACGCGTTTCATTTATCCATATTAATTTAATGGGAATGTTCGCATGTTACGGTTTCATTTTCGTAATTAAATTTCCATTGATTCGTTCTCACGATTTTCATTATTCATGTCACTCTATATGCTTCACTCTGCGTCATTCACTCGCATTTGATTCTCAGAATGCTCGCAGTTTGTTCGCATGAACGTAATTCAGTCAAACGTAATTCAATGACCTTCTGTTAAAAAACACTCTTCATTTATCCTTTTAGATATTGAGGCAGTACTCTCTTTAAGATGGCTGTTGTTTTCGAATAAGTCAGAATGAAAAACTCGCTGCAGTGTAACTCAAAACAACAACTGCCCTGTTAAGACGATGACTAGTGTTTGGTGTTGGTGTCGAGAATCTTCAATGAATTGTCGTTATTTGACAAAATTTTGATTGAATGAAATGCTTTATTGATCGACTCTCAAAGAACTGTATTCCACAACTACGGAGAAGCTTCAACGTTTCGGCGTCGATCCAGTGTCATCAGTAGATCACCATCCGAGCCACTACTGTCATCTCACATGGCCGCGTACGACACCAACTATAGTCAGTGAAATTGATTCAGTTCGAATTTTATCGTTTCAGTTTTTTNTTTTTTGGTTTTTGATGGTCTCTTTTCTTTCCTCATTGACCGTTGTATTCGTTCTTTGCAGACAGTGATTTTCATTCAGCTTCAAACCGAGAATGTTCATTACCCGATCACACTCCCTAAAAACACCTAAGCCGGAGGATAATCATGCAATGCTTGCGAGGATAAAGAAGCGAATCCGAGAAAACGATCGTGTGATCTCTCGATATTTCGTCGGTTGCTTAGGCCAGTTCCAGTGGGCTAAATAATTTATCCCTTCGGATGGCAAAAATCCTCAAAATTTCAATTTTCCTATTTATTAGTTGAAATCAAGTGTGGCTAAGTTTTCCCGAAAATCCTTAGTTAATAACATAAAAATTTGTAGTCGCCGCAAAACTCAGAGGTTAGCGAACAATGCCGTTTATGTCCCAAAGCAATCATTCCATATGACCTTTCAATACCAAATAAGTTCATTGCTCAAACGAGTGGCAATTAAGGTGGATTAATGGCTGTCTTTATTTCCGATCAAAACCACCAATTAAGCCTCATCCTAATCAAAACACGTTAATTGTGGCAGCAGATCGATCCCTCGATAATTGCGAATTGTTTGAAAAAATCGTCTCTGTCGTGCGCTCACTACATCATAAACCCTTTTAATTAGCTAGATCCGAAATAAACGGTTCAAATTTGCAATAATAGCTGGAAAATTTTTCGGCTGAATCGCTCATTGACTGCACAATATGGACTTGTTTCCGACTACTGTCAGGCGTTAGATAGAAACATAATTGCCGAATTGTGCTCGTTATTTTGATGAAAAGAATCTGTTTTGTTTGAATAACTGATCGTAGTGTGCAGCATTTTTGTTTGTTTGTGTGTATGTATGGTCGCATATCCGAGCAAAGCGCAAAATTTGCAGTGGATAGCAGTAAGCTGCTCTATCCGCTGATGAATCCAAAGCACTATTGAAAAGCACCCAGAATGCGCACAAAAACGTTAGCCATCCATCCATCCATGCATTCATTCATTCATGCATACATCCCATTCCGATTGCTGTTCATCTCGAGCAAGCAGCAATCATGCAACCGCATTCGATCAATCCAACTTCCAACATCACATATCGCTCCCAAAGTAAATATCGTCTCAAATCCACAAATCAAAAGCGACGTTCTGTTGCAGATTATTTGCTGAAATTTCTGATCATCGGCAATGCGGGTACAGGCAAAAGTTGTATTATGCATCAGTTCGTCGAAAAGAAATGTAAGTTAATTCGTTCGATTCAAATCCTCATTTCGCGCTTACGAGGGACGGTTATTTTCTACTTTTACAGTTTCATATAAAACGCATGTTCAACAAATCGATCGCACCTTATGAAATTGGGAAATTTTTCGGCCTTTCGGTGAATTCCAAAAGAATGTGCCCAACAAGAAATAGGAAATGCAATAGCAATTAGTGAGAGAAGCCTCGCTCTAAAAAAGACTGCCTTATTTCACGATGAACAGAGCGTTATTTAAGGTGATCCCATACGGCGAGCGATTTCTCTGTTCTAACTGAACGGCTTTATTTCTGTTCTATTCCACTAGAATAGAACCCGACATCTCTATAATTTGAAATTCTAGAACGGAACAGAACAGAGAGGTTTTTCGATAGAACAGAAATTTTGATGTGGAGATGAGAGAAGAGAACATTTCAAATGATGAAACGTGACAGATCAGGTCAAATGTCACAATAGATTTCAAATGTTAGAGCAGAACAGATCATTTCAAGTGGCAAATCAAGACAAAGCAGCTTCGGAATTTTGGGGTACGGGAACAGAACAGAGCGCAGTAGAAAGACTTTAGAGAATTCGAGTGCACAAAAAAAACGGAATAGTTGAACGAGAACGGAATAGAAGAGATCGCCAGAAGCGTGAATAGTGACAATGTTATTTTCAATAAGCGTTTGAACTTGGGATTCGAATGCAGACGTCGTAATTTGCAGTTAAGGCAGACTCAACACATACGATAGGCGTTGAGTTTGGTTCTCGAATGGTCGTACTAGGTGGCAAGAAAGTGAAGTTGCAGATTTGGGATACTGCTGGACAGGAACGGTAAAAACGCTTCTCGATATTTGTATAATCTGCTAAAAATCGCTTGTTCTTCATATATTGTGTTCGTGGATGCAGTGATCGATTATTACTTGTTGACTTCATTCAGTGATTGAGAACCTTTGTAAAATGGAAGATCACTCAACAGTTTGTTAAAGAGGTTTTTAGTAGGGAACGGGGCCATTCGAATTTTTTCTGGTCCCATCTGAATTCCTCTGGAAATCGAAGAGGAGAGGTTCGGTTACATACAGTATTGATCTATTTGCCTGAACGTACAATTTCCAAATGGTAGAAATTGATATATAATTGAACTTTCTTAATTTGTGAAAATTGTCACAAATTGCAGTGAAAGCTGACTCATAGCAGTTGTACAAACAAACACAAGCACTCTAGAAATATCCAAAGCTGATTGTAGATCGCCTTTATGAGAAAATCATGAGATACAATTATTGCAATTGTTCCGACGAAAATCGCGTAAAACTGACAGCTCAATTGCNTACGATATTACTAAGTAAGCTTTCGCCTCTTACATTTTGATTTTCGAAAACAGATTAATTTTTCTCCAAAATCCAGAATGGTAATTACAAACAGAACAGAAACGTGTTCTATCTAGGATATGACTTGAATAGCCACAGGATAAACTTGATCTATACTCAATCAAGCTGCTAATGATGTGAGATGCAATCAGTGAACATCGTGTAGCACTTTAAAAGCTCCCAGAAAGGAATAATGCTTAGTGGTTCCATGCAAACGGACGCATTTGCAGTCGTGAGTCCTACAATGCCCTTCAACAATGGCTCGTCGAAGCACGCAATTTGGCAAGTTCACATATTGTCGTCATTCTTGTTGGCAATAAGAAAGATTTACATGAAGACAGACAAGTGATGCTCCTTGAAGCGAGTCAATTTGCTCAAGAAAATGGTTGAAAGCTTCATTGTTCGAACAATACTTGTTTTTTCCATCTCCAAAAAATGCATTTAACATTCTTTTCACTGATTTTCTAAGAGTTTTCTCACAGATGAATGACCATTTTTCGAGTAATTTGCTCTTTTCACCTGAGTCATGACAATGGCAGTAGTCGTCAACTGAAGAATTGAATTCTATACGTGCCAGTGAATGTTTCACAAGGAATGCCCTTATTGTTTCGTTGCAATTTTCTTCGTTCAGATTTAACATTCATGGAAACAAGTGCACTTAATGGCGAGAACGTTGAAGAGACTTTCTTAAAGTGTGCAAAAACAATTCTCTCGAAAATTGAATCAGGTGAGCAACTCAGCAGTGCTTTTCTTCTATCGATTTTAAGTGTTCATTCATTTGATAATCTCTTCCCCCAACCTCTTAACTCTCTTCGGTATAAACCAATCAATCGTTCGTACTTGACTTTCAGGTGAAATCGACATTGAATGTGTTGGTGCAGGTGTCGAGGTTGGTAGCGAACAGTTGCGGAAGTACCGTGATGAGGAATCAAGGCGTCAGAATCGATGGCGCTATCAAGAATGCTCATCGAGCTGCCGAAATTTGTGAACTGCCTCACATTCACCGAAGTCTTTTTAGGGATTTCCTCGATTTTCCCGTTTTCATACATCCCAAAAGCAATGCCTCGGACAAAGAGGACGTTGCGACTATAATGCGTGCAGAGACGGTCCATTTCGTTGCGATTTTCTTTTTCATTACAGAGACCAACTTCTGACCGTTACAGTTTAATATTCGTTTATTCAATTTGTATGACATTATCGAATTGTAAACTTATAAAAGTCGTTGAGCGTAATTTGTTTTAGTATTTTTGTTTGTTTCAATGTTATGTAAATATTGCGCGTTTCGAAATTGATATTTGATGTTATTCATATGTATTGTAATGTATTTTTATTTGTGACACATAAATTGCTTTATTATACAATGTGAATTTTAATGAATTCGTCGCAGACATTGTCTTAATACGGCAAGCACTGAAGAATATACATGCAGATCAGTCTCCAAACAACATTCAATGCTCATACCATTTGTAATGGCACCGAGCTGCTCAAAACACTTTTTCCATACAAAAGTTAACACGACATCCGATTATCGAGAATGACATGAATTTTTTTGGAATTCTCACGAGAATACATTTGTGAAAGAATGGTTTTATTGAGTGATTTGTTGGCGTCATAATGGCATAGCATTATTGAAATGCATATTAGCAGTGAACAATTTGTATCATTAATCGTTGCAAGCGTTTGGCATTATTACATCATTCCCGCTTTCTGCAAATTCTTCTGTATGATCGTATCGATTACACTCGTTATAACAAGTTGAACCTGGAAATATTTATCACTTCAGACATCCTTCCCTAAAACGCACCCGATATGTTCTCAATTCAAACTTTTTGTATCCGGTATGGTGAGAAGTTCACTTCGTGATGAGAAGAAGAAAGCAGTACCTGATTCGTATCTGTTGCGCACGTTTCATGCATATATATCGTCTTCTTGTCAGGATTCAAATTGAGCTCACTGAACTTCAACTTAATATAGTTTACAGCTTCGTCGTAATTCTGACCTCCTAGAAAAAGAACTATCACAGCTGTCTGTTGCAGTTGCTCATTCACGTATTTATAGTTCGTATCACCGGAACACAATAACCTATTGAGACCGTCGATCACTCGAATACAGTTGAAGTATATCATCAAGCCGCATGAATTATTGATCGAGAGACTTTATCAATACAAACAGCCATTATTTGTTTACGTAACAAACATGAAATTGCCTACCTTCATAATCTGGAAATGCAGTGGTAATGTTAACTCTCTGGATTTTCTCCATGAATAAATCTTTCTTATTCAAGAATAAAATCATCGCGGTTGATAGAAACCACGTACTGTTACATATGGACGAGAACAGTTGCATCGATTCAATCATTCGATTCTGAATTAATTGTCCATTGAAACGGCAATAAAATTCCACACAGTAATTGTGATTTTCGAGAACATTGTGATATTTGACCCATTTGGTGTTTAGGGCCATCTGCAGTCCCCCAAAAAAACCGGTGTGATTCTTTACGGCTGAATCACATTCAGCACTCAAATTCACTCATATATTCGTCAGGAAGGGAATATTTTCATAAGTAAAGAGCGAACCTCATAAGACTAATCCGGGTTTCCGGGAACTACAGTCATACCGAAATATAACATGGCTTATGCGTTTGACACTTACCGTAGTTTCATCCTCGAATAGCACTTGATCATATTCACTGATCGCTGTGATGAAAATGATTGATTCCACATTGTCAAAACAGTGGATCCATTTACGACGTTCTGATCGTTGCCCACCAACGTCAAAAACTCTGAAAATTTTTTACACATTCCTCTCCAACTGTGATCTTTCGCGAGGGTCGCAGAATTTCAGGACATTTTCGCGACGATCGCATTTTCCGGGTCCCCAACTTCCCCCGTCCCCGGCGCTTTTTTTTCATCGCAACACACTGATTGGACATTCATGATCATACACACACATATCGGCTCTAGATTGTGTCTGAAATCGAAGTGTCAAACCACTTAATGTTACTTCATTTTCACATGCTCAGGACGCATTCTTGATTGATCTCTTCGCTAAAGTGAGCAATTTATGATTATTCGATTTCAGCTTAGCGATTCATTTAGCGCCGATTGAACTTTTTTGAACGGCGCCAAAAAATGGTGCTGATCGACAATTCAATGAACATCGACAGATCATACCTGAAGTCGAGTTCTTTGATTTTGAATTTCACCTCAACAACACCAGTGGTAGCAACTCGACTGTAGAGAATGTCTTGCTCGGTGGGTCGATAACCGGGTTCATTGATTCGTGCCACAGAATCCAAAAAACTGAAAGAGCCGTCTCCCTTCGATCATTAAACAACTGAATTTGTCACCCATTATATAAGTGTTCTTCAAAATTGCGCTTCTTCCCCTCCACTGTTCGTTTTGTAATATATTTCGTAACCTCAAAAACATTCACAGTCTCATGGATCAAAAAGTGATTTTTTCTCATATGCTATGAGGAATAATTGGATATATGCGATAGCTGGTGAAGATTTCATCTTTGTGATCAATGTTCAGGATCCGAGAGTAATGAGTAGGCCTAGATTCGATACGAATGAAATTGTTGGGAATTCAGAGATGCCGAATTGATAGTGGGTGCTTAACGCCACTTTACGACTGTCGATATTTTGATGTTTTCTATTTATCGTATGAAATGATGATTAAGGATTTGTTTCATTGGATCGGTAAGCGGATAAACGAATGACTAAGTGAGGAAATAAATTGCTAACAACGAGGAAATGACAACATCAGTAATGAGCTGTGGACAATGAAAGACATTTGCTACTTTAAATGAATAACACTGTCTAGCGATCAAATAAAACGACGACGAAATGGTCAATTCGCGAGGCAGTCTGGTGCATGAAATCAGGCAATAAATTGCATTTTTCTGCATTGTTCACCATTTTCCCGATTTATTCGTAAGATTTTTTTTCGAATTTTCTGGCCTTTCTTATCTAGACAGTAAAACTTACATAAATATGAAAAGATAACGCATAAATATTTGCTCAAAGCTTACTATTTAGCCGAATCGTTCAATTGATATTCGCTGCGCATATCGTAAGCCTTTTTAACTGCGCTGTCGTTCCATAACGAGATGACTGCATTTGCAACTTCATCAGTGAATGGCTCTGATTCATCGCCTACTTCAACCACTCGATACAATAACGCCTTCTCGGCCTGAATCAGTTAGCGATATTAATTAACTGATCACCGACAGCTGAACATCTATCTAAGATGGACGATTCATATCGTTAGCCCAAGATTTTCCAATGTTAGAAGTGCTTGTGTGATACCGTACAAAGAACCCGTATACTGTAACTAGTTCAAAAGATAGGTTGGCAGTTCTTTTTAGAATCTGAAACGCTCGGATTCAATCCAATGACTTCTGATTATGTGAGCTAATAAACGTTCACATGGTGTGAACAGTTATTCAAACATCCTTCATAGAATTCATCCAAATCAAATCAACAATTCTGATCTGTTGTTGATCAATATGAGAAGACGATTACGAAAACAGGCAATGAAGGCATTTGTGCAACTGTACAAAATGCTCGTACTTCCTTTTCAGGATCATCGAGCGGAATATTCAGAACGTTGTCCATAGCTCGTAGGATGGCCACTATTGAGGTGACCGTATTGTTGTAAACGACCGC